AAAAAAAAAAAAAAGAAGTAGGGGGCTCCTGAGAGAGAGAGGGTCCCAGCCATGGGTGAGGGCTGAGAGAGAGAGAGAGAGACTGGAGTCTGTGGAGAAGGTGGGGCTCAGCAAGATGAGCATTTGTATACTTATGGTTAGGGGCTCCATGAAGGGAATGGAGACCCGGAGAGGAGGTTGAGGATACAATGAGGAAATGACGGCTCAGTGAAGGCAAGGGTCTTCAGTCAGAGGGGTGGGGGGTTGAGGGAGTGATGGAGAGTCGGATCAGGAGTTTGAGGGACTGCAGGAGGGGGTGAGTTCTGGGGAGGCGATGGGGTTTCAGCGAGCGGCCCGGGGTCTCAGAGAGAGAAAAGAACTCCGGAAGGAGACAGGGGCTCTCCATCCTGCAGGGGTCCGCAATCTGCAGAGCCAGCCCTTGGGGCGGGCGGGTGCCCCCCTCCCAGACCCGTATCACCCCCGCCCCCGACTGCGGCGCAGGCGCCGACAGAACCAGCTTCTGCTCGGCTCTCGCTCTGGCTCCCGCTCGGCGGAGACAGCAGGCAGAGAGGTGAGCTCAGCCCTGCTCCACGCGCGCCCCGACCCCCACCCCGCCTTCTCCCGGGTTTCGGGGAACCCCACCTCAGCCCGCATCCCCAGCGCGGCCACGTCCAGCCTCGGACGGGACAGCGGCGCCCAAGCCTTGGTGTGCCTCGGGATTCGGGAGGTGAGGTCCCAGAGAAGTGGCGGGGGGCAGAGATCTCACCAGCCCGGTCTCAGTGCTGAGAGGATGGGCAGAGGCTTCAGAAAACAAGACCCCTATCCATCTCTTTACTAAAAACCTATTCCCACCCTTCCGTGCCTCAGTTTCCCCCTGGGGGAAAGGATGAGGTTAATCTCGACCAGGGAACCGGTGGTCTGGTCAGAAACAGTGGTGCGGTGGAGAGTGGGAGGAATTGGCCCGATTTCGCTGGCCTCGCCCCCCAAGAGGGTGCCCCTTCTCCCAGCCCCCGCAGCGCCGGACACTGGAGTGGGCGGGTCTGGGGGTCTGGGAAGGAGAACTGAGTGAGGCCGTGCAGGCAAGAGATTCCCATCCATCTTCAGGCCCTCGCGCCTGTCACCTTCGCGTACTCCTCCCGCCGCTCGCCTCCCGCCGCAGTCTCCCCTCTCGGACCCTGTAGTCCCCTCCTCTACCCGCTCCTTTCACACTGAGCTCCTCCCTCCCCCCCTAGTCTAGGGACACCTCCCCAGCGGTTCCTATGGCAACCCACGTCCCGGGTACCCGCGCCGGGTCCGGAGCATCCTCTCTCTCCCTCCCCCTGACCGCCAGACCGCCTTCCTGCAACCTTAACACGGGAGGAAGAGGGGCCAGGCCGAGGGGGAGGCAGCGTCAAGGTCACCTTCCTTCTCCAGTGCCAGCAAGATTGAGCGATTAGGTATATTTGGGGGAGAGGGACAGTGAGTTGCAGGGAAGGAGCTCACCCAGACCAACAATTCCTGAGCCTCTCTTCCCTGCCCCCTCCCCTAGGGTCTTTAATTAATAGTTGCTGCTTTGACTCTGACTGCCTCCGGGCCCCCACTCCTTCTCCCCACCCGGGCCTCTGAAGCGCCCCTGCCGGGGGCGGTTCCCGCACTGGCCACACCCCCTTGGAGCCCCGCCCACCCGCCTCCCGGGGAGATCCCTGCTCTTTCGCAGGACCACTCGGCTCCCTCCTTCTCTTTCGTTTCTGGTCTCTGCCTTTTTCCATTCTCTGTCCAAAACATATATATATGTTAGTCTTTTCCTTTTCTTCTCTTTTTTCCTGAGTTGTGGGTGAGGGTTGTGCACTTCAGGCGCTTGTGTGGATCCGTGGGGTCTCCAAGAATCACCCCAACACACACTTTGGCTCTGTGTGTGTGTGTATCTGTGTGTGTGTGTTTCTCCGTGGAGTGTCTTTGTGTGTGGTGTGTCTGTGTGTCTGTTTCTCTGTGCTATGTGTGTTTATCTGAATATGTCTCTATGTGGTATATGAGTGCCTGTCTGGGTATGTCTCTGTCATGTTTGTATATTGGTGTTGGTGTGTGTCTCTGGTGTGTGTGTATGTGCATCAATCTGTAGTATGTCTCTGTTTGATTTGTGTGTGTGTATATATGCCTGTCTGTCTGTGCTGTGTGGGTATGTGTGTGCTGGTGAGTCTCTCTATGCAGGAAATTGAAAGCCACATCTGATTGAAATTGGGGGGGGTGGTCTAGAAATTTGTCTTATCCTGTAGTGTAAGCACTGAAGCATTTTTTAAAAAGATTTTATGTATTTAGTGAGAGAGAGAGCCCGTGAGGGGTAAAGGGAGAGGGAGAGAAAGAATCTCAAGCAGACTCCGCATGCTGAGCGCTTGGGGGCTCAATCTCACAACCCTGAGATCATGACCTGAGCTGAAATCAAGAGTGGGAAGCTCAACTGACTGAGCCACCCAGGCACCCTGCTCATTGCTTTATTTTGTTTGAAGCTGCTCAGGGGTGCTGATGCAGGAGCCCAGTCCTTCCCCAGCACAAACGCCCCCCCTCCCCACACCCACCCTTTCCCTCATCCCCTACTTTAGTTTTAGTCCTATCCGTGTGTAGATACACAAGTACTTTCCATTACCAGGTCCTCAGTGTCTCCGTCTGTGAAAAGAGAGATTTTTAAGATTAGTGGTTGCCAGAGGCAGGGCAAAATGTGTGAAGGGGGTCAAAGGTACAAACTCCAGTTATAAAATAAATAAGTCATGAGGATATAATGTATCACATGGTGACTATAGTTAATAATACTGTATTGCATATCTGAACGTTGCTAAGAGAGTAGATCTTAAAAGTTCTCTCACAAGGAAAGACATTTGTTGGTAACTAGGTACGGTGACAGATGTTAACTAGACTTATTATGGTGATCATTACAAATACCGAATCATTATGTTCTACACCTGAAACGAATATGATGTTATATGTCAAGTATCCCTCCATAAAAAAAATGTATTATTCAAAAAGGAGGGGTTCTTAGATAGGTTTCCCTAGAAATCTAAACACTCTTGAGCCTAAGAGGGCTCCTGGCTTTCACCTCCTTTGAAGTCAAGATGACTTGGGACATGGAGGCTATTGCCTTGTGAGGGGCAGCCCTGGGGAGGGATTTTTTAGAGCCTTGCACCTTGGGAGCTCGGCCTCATTAGACAAGTATCAGCCATGACAGTTACCCCCAAGAATACCTGAAAGAGGGGGAGATTTTGAGAAAAGATGGGGATAAGAACCTCTTACTCTAGATATGGGGCTCAAAAAGTTCAGGACAAAAATAATAGTGAAGAAATTACGGTAATAGTAATGACAACTGGTACCATTTCTTGGCCTCAGATACAGTAACTGTGTGAAGCAGGTGTGATTATTAGACCTGCCCTACAGGTAAGGAACCCAAGTTTTGGAGAGGTGAAAGCATTTGTCTAAGGTCACACAGCCAGGAGGTGGTAGATCTGGGATTCCAATCCAGACAGTCAGGCTCCCAGAACCCACAGTCCCAGCTACTGGGTGGCCTCCAGATTAAACAAGCAGATTTACTGGCATCTACAATTGTTAAGCCCTGGCCTCAGCGCCCGTGTGCTTTGGCTCATTCACAGTGTATGTAGGGAAAGACAGACCAGTATCTAGAAGGCCAGGCTGTGTTACGAGCGTGGGCTATCTAAAGTGGGAGGAAAAGCGGATGACGCACAAAGATTCAGGGGGCCTGGGAGGGTCTCACAGATCCCTCCCTCTGTCCACTGCACCTTGCTTCCCCCCACAGAGATCTGCAATGCCAGGCTGTGACCGTTCCTGCAGCTGTAGCCGCGGCCCCAATGTGGAAGAAGGCAAATGGTATGGGGTCCGCTCCTACCTGCACCTCTTCTATGAAGACTGTGCAGGTACGGCCCTCAGCGATGACCCTGAGGGGCCTCCCATCCTGTGTCCCCGTCGACCCTGGCCCTCACTGTGCTGGAAGGTAAGGCCAGAGGAGGAGCAACTCCTGGGATTTCATGTGCCTGCAGGGAGGAGATGGAATCATTGGATAGGAAGAAGAGGGATGGTATAGCAGGTGCAAGCAACAAAAACCCAATTGGGGGGCCTGGCTGACTCAGCTGGTAGAGCATGTGACTCTTGATCTCATGGTTGTGAGTTCAAGCCCCACACTGGCCCCGGAGCCTACTTAAAAAAAAAAAAAAGACAAATGGCTACTCTTGGTAAGTCATTCAAAACCATACAAATTTGGGGCACCTGGCTGGCTCAGTTGGTAGAACGTGCGACTCTTGATCTGGGGGTTGTAGGTTTGAGCCCCACACTGGGGATAGAGATTACCTAAAAAGAAAATCTTAAAAAAAAACCTCAGGGCACCTGGGTGGCTCAGTCGTTAAGTGTCTGCCTTCGGCTCAGGTCATGATCCCAGCGTCCTGGGATCGAGCCCTGCATCGGGCTCCCTGCTCGGTGGGAAGCCCGCTTCTCCCTCTCCCACTCCCCTGCTTGTGTTCCCTCTCTCGCTGTCTTTCTCTCTGTCAAATAAATAAAATAAAATCTTAAAAAAAATTAAAAAAAAAACTTCAAATGGGTTAAATAAGAAAGGGAAAATATCACTCATTTTATTGAAAAGACCAGAGGTTGAGCAACTTCAGGCAAAGTTCAATCCAGCTGTTCAAGATTTCTCTTAGTCTTCAGGCTCCCCATGGTGCCCCCACCCTTGTGGCCCCTTTAGCTTCAGGATCTACGCACATGTTCCCCAAGTAGCTGCTACCATGCTGACCCACAGCGTTTCACTCTACACCAACCACAGGACATCAGAATTTCCTCCAGTATTTCCTTCAGAAAAGAAACACTGCTTTCCATTTCATTTCCAGAAGTCCTGTCGAATATTGCTTTGGCTCTGATTGGGTCACTTGCCCGTCTCTGAACTAATTACTATGGCCAGGGGGGATAGTAGACACTGACTGGAGTTCATCTCAGTTAAATTTTTTTTTTTTCATCTCAGTTAAATCTTACCGTGGTTTCACAATGATATACTGGGGTACTGTTGCCAGTCAGTGTCTCTAACAGCCAGGAAGAGTGATCAGTGAGGGCACAGAGTGTAGGGAAAGGGTGGAGGTGACAGTAAGCTGAGACCCTACAATGGGCATAGCTCTTTGCCAAATACTGTAAGGAGACTGAGGCAGAGGATCCTTCCCCTCGGCTTTCAAAGGGCTTCACTCTAGTGGGGACGCAAAGTGCCAAGATATAGAGAGTAAATGCACAACTTCAGGCCAAATGATCAGAGGGTGCCAGGAGAGGAAATGTTCTCAGTACCTGGGGTGATCAGGGAAGACTCTCAGGGGAAAGTGAGTATGTATTTTAAAACTTTGAGCATCTTCTAGTTGCCAGGCAATGTGCTATGCTCTTGAGGACAGAGAATTTAAGATGTGGTCCCTGTCCTTTAGGAGTTCCTAGCTATGGTTCCTTTAGTCATTCTGCAAACATTCACTCAGCTACTGCTCTGTACCAGCACCATGCTAGAAGACACCTGGTGACCCAAAACAGACAGTGTCTGTTCTCATGGCTCTCCAGACTCTCATTCCAGTGGGGCAGGCAGATATCACTTACATAGTAGCGGAAGTACATGTTCGAGTGTGCACCAAGGTGAGCGCACCGAAGAACAAATGTGCACAGTGTTTGTACAAATGCAAAGCAGGGGACCTGACCCAGGCCAGGGGCATCCTGGAAGGCTTCCCTGAGGAGGTGGGGTTTGAGATGAGATCTGAGGGATGTGTAGGAGTTATCCCGACTGAGAGATAGAAGGCAGACAGGACAGAGAGATGAGATGGGACCCAAATAATGATGGAGGGAAACTCAAGGTAGACAGGAAAAACCTACTGCTAAGTGGGAGTTTCAAAGGACATTGATCTAGGGGCCTCAAGATTCCAAATAGAACGTGACAGTGTGTGCCCCTCATCAGTTCGATCCTGGAAGGTGTGTCTGTGACTCGCCTGTGATTCCCATCTCTCAAGGTCAGACCAAGGCATTACCTTTAAGTCCAGTTGGGATCACCAGTCAGGCTGACCCTGACTACCTCCCAATCTGTCTGCCTCTCTCCAGATCAGTCTGTCTTCGGGGACCCTGCTTCTGCTGCTTGGGGTGGCAGCCCTGACCACTGGCTATGCAGTGCCCCCCAAGCTGGAGGGCATCGGAGAGGGGGAATTCCTGGTGTTGGATCAGCGGGCAGCCGATTACAACCAGGCTCTGAGCACCTGCCGCTTGGCAGGCACAGCGCTCTGCATGGCGGCTGGGATCCTGCTGGCCATTTGCCTGTTCTGGGCCATGACTGGCTGGCTGAGCCCGGACACCAAGGCAGAACCCTTGGACACCGAAGCTGATGGCCACGTGGAGATCTTCGGGGATGAACCAGAGCAGCAGCTGTCCCCCATCTTCCGCGATGCCAATGGCCAGTGTTGGTTTTCACCACCTACTAGCCCCTTCGGGCAATCCTCTGTGCAGACCATCCAGCCCAAGCGGGACTCTTGAGCTGCCCACAGGCCAGAGGAGGAATCAGACCTGGGGTCTGGACCATTCCTCTGTCCCACCACACCCTGCCATCAATTGTCTCCCTAACTTCCCCCTTTCAGCGGGGCCCCTTCCACCTATGCCCCCAGAAGACCCAACTCCAGCTCAAGAGAGTCTGGAGCTCAAATCCCAGTGCCCCTTCCCAAGTATTGGGCCCCATCTCATCCAAGATGCCAACTTTCCCCAAGTCCTCCCAAACCTTCCCACCCACCCCTCCTTCCCAAGACCCTTCAGGAGCAGAAAACATCCCCCTCAATCTATCCCTATTCTACTCTGTGTGACCCCGGGCAAGCCCCTTTTCCTTTCAGACCATCAGTTCCTGTCTCCGTAATACGAGGGGTTTGGATCAGATTCTAGAGTTCCATGGCTTTTCTATTCTCCCCAGTTGTAAGCATTACTCTCCACAGACAGTTGGGTGGAGGGGTAGTGGAGTCTTTCTCATCCCCTGACCCCTTCCTCCGTCAGCTGCTCCAAGATGCCTTCCTCGAGGATGGGTCAAAAGCACTCACTTGGACTTCCCTTCCAGGATGGTGCGAAAACAGTCACCTCCTACAGAATGTTTTCTGTGTGCGTTTTGGCATCAGAGCCCCTCAGGCCAGCCCATCATGGGCTCTTATTAGCCTCAGTTTACAAACGAGGTGGCTGAGGGAGGTTGGCAGTCTGCAGGAATTTGGACCCACACCTCCCACCTCCTCTTGGGCCAACTCTTGTTCTACAGCTGGAACAGGGAACCTGCTGGACACTTTCCTGCCTTCCAGGGGACCTCTAGGGGTGGGAGACAGTTGGTCCAGAGAGCCTGGTTGGAGGCCTGATGGTCCTAGGTAGCTCAGAAGATAATTTGGACATGCAGAGCCAAGGGGCAGGAGTACTGGGATGTCTTTGCCCCTCAAAATCCACTCACTTAGAAACCATCACCTACAGGTCCTGACCTTACCCTGTAACAAATGTGTCCTGCTGGGGGCAGCAGCACCTCCATCCTGCGGTCTCCCCAGCCAGACGCACCATCTCCGTTCTTACCACTAGAGGGAGCTCCAAGACTGCTGGAGAGAGGCGTCGACACC